ATGTTGTCTCAATTTCCAGCATTTCCTAGTGTTCAAACATTTGCCTTATCTTTCCCCAAGTGTCCTCCCAGAAGACCCTAAGCCACAGCACCAGGTTCGCCAGCAACGCCAGGAGCTCCTCTCCAACAGACAAACCCAAGACAAGCTGTCTCTTGCAGGGAGATCTGGAGTCCACCCCTTAGGGCTGCACGTCCGAAGGGCATGCTGTCGTCCCCCACCTCTATTTCATGAGCAAATCATCTAGGATTAAGGAGGGAGTGGGCGCAGCCCCCTAGTTCCAGTCAATGACAGGGGATTTACTGACAGGCATCCTCTTTCTAGTTAAAGTGCAAAGTCCCTTAGCTGTGGACTTCTTACAATCAGAGAAAAGGAAAAGCCCCCAAATTTCTGAAATATTTTTGTGGAACGGAGTTGGAAGGAACTGATGCAGGCGCCCTGCTTGTGTTGGGTAGGGGCTGTGGTCAGGGCCACTGACCACCCCAAAACCCCCAATCAAAGAGGTAAGGTGTCTTTGGCTTTGAGGGGTAGGGTCAGGTGTCCAGGTGAAGGGGTTCAAGGCGGTGGTGGAGCCTGGGCCAAGACCCAGTCCAGAGAGGGGGTCCCTCATTCATGAATACAGACTCCCAGTAGCCAGGCAGACCAACATGGCCAACGTGGCTGCTGTATCTGATAAGACCCGGGTGCTCAGTCTGCATGGAAAAAATGTCTATTTGGCCTTAGAAAAAATGGTTTTCTTCTGAAAAGCTATGAATGTCACTCAGAAGATTGCAAATTCTGTAAAAATTCCTCATGGATGTGTTAAATATTAAACAGACTTTTGTGTCTTTTTTTTTTTTTTAAAAAAAGAATATTTTATTTCAGTTTCTACCTTCTGACAACTCAAGGTGCAATATATACACACATTTTTTTCTTCACAGCAAACACCTTTGATTTTAGCACTGTTTTGAGATCTTCACCCTTGAAATTTTCTTAACCTTAAAATACTTTGTAGAACATCACCGAGTGGGACACAAGATTGCAAAAATGCAACAGAGAAGATACTGGTGTCACTGCACACCACTGGGGGCTACCAACAAGGCAATGTCCGGATGTGACCACCACGAGTCTAGGAAAGAGAAAGCAGAGGGCGTGTGCATGGGAGACGCCACTGATAGTTCCAAGGGGGGCTGCCAGGTCCAAGGCGGCGGCAGGTCAACCGTGTCCTGACACATTTACATGTTTTAAGGGGATCCATGTATGTTGTCTCAATTTCCAGCATTTCCTAGTGTTCAAACATTTGCCTTATCTTTCCCCAAGTGTCCTCCCAGAAGACCCTAAGCCACAGCACCAGGCTCGCCAGCAACGCCAGGAGCTCCTCTCCAACAGACAAACCCAAGACAAGCTGTCTCTTGCAGGGAGATCTGGAGTCCATACCTTAGGGCTGCACGTCCTAAGGGCATGCCGTCGTCCCCCACCTCTATTTCATGAACAAATCATCTAGGATTAAGGAGGGAGTGGGTGCAGCCCCCTAGTTCCAGTCAATGCACAGGGGATTTACTGACAGGCATCCTCTTTCTAGTTAAAGTGCAAAGTCCCTTAAGGTGCAGCTCAAGGGAGCTTCAGGCTGCAGCGGGCTCAGGCTCTGTTTTGTCAGGTCCCAGAGCCTGCAGATAAAGAGGATGGGCTGGGTTCTCCCCAAATTGCACTGTTCTGTGGGAGGGGTGTAGAAGGGAAGTTGGGGTGAACCCAGCCCATCCTCTCTCCCCTTGGACATGGTTTTTCCCTTTCCAATAGTAACTAAGAAACCCTACTCCCACCCCCAACCCCCGTGGAAGCGCTGTCCCACTGAAATCCCGTGGTCACGTGCATCCCCAGGCGCAGCTGCAGGTAGGGCCGCGCTCCCGAGGGCTCCCACTCACCACAGTCTGCAGGCTAGAGACACCCACACAAACCCAATCCCTTGCCAGCACCGGAGTCAGGCTCCCACGTGGCATGCATCCTTGCGAGCCCATCGGTCACATGATTGATTCCGTCCCTCTCCTGGAGAGCATGCTACCCAGGCCAAGGGAGGCCCAGGGATGCATGCGGGCCTGAGGCACAGAAGGCAGGCCCCCTGAGCGCCTGTGTGGAGGGTGGCTTCCAGGCCAGTGTTGGCTGCAGGAGAACAGTCTGGACGTGGTTCTTCTGTTTGGTGTCTCAGGCACCAACACATTCCTATTCCTGGCCCGCGGCAGCAAGGGTTCCTGGGGTGCATGGCCTGTGTGACTCCAGGAAGCCCTGCTGAGCCAGGCGGGGTGCACCTGGCATCCGACTCCCCTTTCCTGTGGACGCAGCTGGGAGCTTCTGAAGTGAAACCTATCTCCAAGAATCATCAATGTGAATACGTGATTTACAGGACAAGGGAGTGAGACGGCTGCATCCTAAGAAAAATGGTTCAGCGGAAGTGAATGGCTCACTGGGACTGGAAATGGGACAGGAAAAGGAGTGAGAGTGGCCTTGAGTGAAAACCTGGCAGCTTCGCCTTGTGGCTGCAGAAACGGAGGAGGGACCAGCCTCAGAACACCTGCCTGCTGGGTCCAGGGGGGCTCTCCCTCCCCTCTCCCTGAGGCTGAACCACTGCCACGCTGTGAGCATCCCTTCCTCTGCGACAAGGAACCCTCTGATTTTTCAAGTTCTCTTTCTCGAGCTCCACACTGTTCTTGGAAACACTACTGGACTCCCTGGCTGCGCTGTGGTCTGGTTTTAGGTAATTCAGTAACAAAGCTGACCTAACCACACGGGCCTACCTGGATCCTTCCTAATTAAAAAGCCAACAGAGGCTGTGTGTGGTGCCTCAGGCCTGTAATCCCAGCACTTTGGGAGGCTGAGGTGGGTAGATCACCTGAGGTCAGGAGTTCGAGACGCAGCGGCCCCAACATGGGATAAGCCTCCATCCCTCTTACTAAAAATCAGAAAATTAGCCGGGCGTGGGTGGCGGCGGCACTGTAATCCCAGCTACTCAGGAGGCTGAGGCCGAATTGCTTGAACCCGAAGGCAGGTGGCAGTGAGCAGAGATCATGGCCACTGGCACTCCACGCCTGGGCGACAGAGGCAAGACTGTTTCAAAAAAAAAAAAAAAAGAAAAAGAAAAGAAAAAAGCCCAGGTGTGGTGGCTCACCCCTGTAATAACCAGCACTTTGGGTGGTGAGGCAGGTGGATCACCTCAAGTCGGGAGTTTGAGACCAGCCTGACCAAACATGGAGAAAACCCTGTCTCTTACTAAAATAACAAAATTAGCTGGGTGTGTGGCACATGCCTTAATCCCATACTCAGAGAGGGGAGGCTGAGCGCAGGAAGAATCCGCTTGAACCTGGGAGCGGAAGGTTGCAGTGAGCCAGAGATCGAGGCACTGCACTCCATCCAGCCTGTGCAACAAGAGTGAAACTCCGTCTCAAAAAAAAAAAAAAAAGCCAACAGATAGTGGGACCCAGGAAGGTCAGGCCAGTAGCTTACAGCCCTGGCTTCCGGCTAAGGAACCCCAGTTAGACTGAAACCTTTCACAAGCTCTTTACGGTGTGAACCTGCATTCCTCGTGTCAGGGGTCTGGAATACCAGGTGCTCCGGGGTGATAAGGTAACCCAGGCAGAACAGCCTAGGGAAAAGCGAAATCTCACGGCTCCAGCCTTCTTTCCTCATAACTGAACTCCTCAGCATTACTGGGCTTGGAGGAGTGAGCGAGAGGCCTGTTTGATTTTAACTCACAGGAAGGAAAGAAGACGAGGGTTGGCGGTGCCTGTGATTCCCGCACTCGGCCTCGGTGCTGGTTTTAAACCCAGCGTGTGTTGCTTGGATTACCTGAACATCAGGATTTTAAATTGGGTACAGAGCTCAGAAACTGGACTCTCCCTCTAGCCCTTTTTTGGAAATGTCAGAGCTCTTTGGCCCACTTTCTTTCTTTTGGCAATAGGAAAATCATAGAGCCTACCCCATTTCACTTACAGATAACTTACGACATCAGAATTCAGTTCTCTGGCCTTTGGTTAAACATGTGCATGCACAGGGCAGATGCAATCTATTAACACAGTCCCTCTTAAACATCTATCAATGTTGCTACAATTCCATCAATGTTGCTAAAATTGTAACAAAGGCTAAAAACATACAATGCTGCATGTCAACATGTCCTGTTTTCAAAGCAGGGAGCTTTTCACTTGAGTGAGTTGTTTGCGTTTTGGTTCACTAGGATTCACACAGCCCTCAAGGTCGGGCAACAGAGTGCCTGCAACGGCCCCACGGACGACAGGCCTTCGCGCCCCTAGTTTTGGGCATTCTGTCTGCTGGGGCTGGGAACCTCTTCCTAGGAATCACCTGACACTTCCTGAATTTACAGAGGGGCCACCAGAGCTCTCCTATACCCAGGTGGCCCTGGGTGTGCCCTGGTGTGACACCTCCCCACGCGGGGACCTTTGAGCAGTGTGGCTGGGTCAGTCTGCTCCGCATCAGGGCCCAGCTCACGCCTCCTCTGCCCAGGCCCTGGGGGAAGAGAGGAAACCTTGGTGGCAGGTGGTCAGCCCCGTCCCAGGCACACTGGGCCTCCTCCAGGCAACCCTGGCCAGAGCCACTGTCAGCCACAGCCGGCAGGAGACCACAGGCAGCCTCCCGAGCCACTGCCTGCTCCGCTCACAGCACAAGCAGCTGTCTCTCGGGCGTCCTGTGTGGATGGAGCACAGAGGGGACCCTTCTCTGTCAGGCTTCCTCCAACTCTGAGGAGCTAGATGTACAAGAATAGGTAGTAAAGGGAGAAATAAACAGACAGACAAAACCCCAAACCTTTCCTCTCCCTAAAATGGCTATTTCAAGAGGTCTATGTGGACAAAAAAGTGTCAAGACCATTTTTGAAGTCAAAGTGCTTGGAAAAAAGTCCAACGAAGTCAGTGCTGCCTTTCCTTCCAGAGGCTGTGCCCAAGCCCTCCAGTGCCCCCAAGAGAGTCTCAGAATCAAACAAAACTTCCAAACAAAAATCCTACACATGCAGGGGTAAGTCTTGTGGGCACCGCAGAACAAAGGCCGAATGCGTTTCACTAACACGAATAATACATGACTAAGAACGCTGACAACGAGGCGGCTGAAGGGAGCTCCCGGACAGTCAGCCCTCAGTGTGGCCTGAGTTTCGCCGGTGTGGGGAGGAGAGCAGTGCCCTGGAGCCGTGGCTGGACGCCGCAGGAGGTGTGTATTATTTGCAGTTGGCATCAGAGCGAGGGGCGTCCGCACACCCCTTGCTCTCTGATTCTCTAAATGGATTCGGTGGAGACACGGCCGTTGGGGTCCAACGATGGGGGAAGGGGCACCCCAGCCTGCGCAACTCCCCCACCCCAGCCCAACTCATGGCGAGCGCACTGGCAGCATGGCCAGTCTGGCCAGCGGCATTGCCAGGCTAAAATCACTCACGCACCACGTAGTCAGGGGCCCTGAGCCCCGGCTCCCCATTCTGCAGTCTGGCGACATGTGGTCCAAGTGCATCAGATGACACCACATTTCAGATAATGCCCCAGACACACGTTCTGTGATCCAACCAATCTGTGCTCGTCTCTGGACCATCCTGGGGAGGCATTCCCTGGAGGGAAACCTTCCAAGCAGTGGCCGGGTAAGTGACTCTCAGGCTTACAAACAAGACGGGACTTATCTGACCGAATGTCAGAGGAGGTAGCCAGGAAGGGCGGGAGGGGAGGATGGCGGGTGGAGGGAGAGCCCCACGGGCCTGTTTGGCGGTCAGGGACCACAGCAGCGACGGGTAGGAGGCAGGGGACCCCAGGCAGGCTGGCAGCGTCCACGCATGGCGAAACAGAAGGCTCTGGACCCAGCATGCAGGTGTCAGGGTCAGGCCCCGGGCCCACGGGCTGGCCTGGAGTGCCTGGTACAGATCCACAGAAGAGAAGGGTCATGGTTCCCAGGCAGTAGCTGCGAGGTGAAGGGAGTCTCTGCAGAGGCTGGAGGAAGGAGCTGCAAAGGTCTGGTGGGGAAGGAAAAAGCCCCTTCCGGAGCCCCTGGGGGCACAGGCCCAGCGCTCAGCCCTTACAGGCAGAGTCCATGCCACTGGCTCGCCCCACACGTCACACAGAACTGCCTCTCTCCAGCTGCTGTCTCTCCCAGCTCAGACTTTCCTGCCTTGTCTGGAATAAAGAGCAGCACTGTTTGCTTTTAGAAAGGGTGGTTGTCTAGTGACTACTAAAGAAACTTCTCTTTCCTGTGCTTCTTGTGAGGGACACACGGCACAACGCTGCTTCGTGACCGCGGAGCCTTCTCTGCTTCAGAAGGGAGCTGTCCGCCAGGCGGGCGCATGTCAGACGGTCTGTGTGGTCTACTGCAGGCACCTTGGCACTGCTGTGGCTCTGGCGGAGACACACAGATCCCGGGCCGTCTGCAGGGCACACACATGTCCCTCTGGTGGGAGCCAGGTCTTGCTCCAGCCAGCCAAGAGCATCCTCTGCACCACTCCCTCTCTCTCCCTAAAACAGGCGTTTCTTCCTCAAGGGTCCTGTGACTTCCCGTTCCTGCCCCACAGAGGGAGACTGGGGAAGAGTGAGGACCGGCCACAGCCCCACACTGAGAGGGCTGGATGGGAGCCAGGTGTGCACCCATTGCAGGGAATGTGGCCCAGGGCCGCCCACCATGAGTGGCAGGGCCAGTCCTCCACCACTGGGTATGCCGGCTGCAGCCCCACCTCATGGCTGTCCTGCCTGCATCCCTTGCCCACCCCCACCCTCGCCAGCCCTTGGCCCACGATGGCCCACAGCGCCCTTCCCCTCCTCCCTCTTGGTCTCATCTCACAAGCCTGGCACTCGGGGTACAGCTGGTCACCTTGGCTTTAGCCATGTGACCCAAGGGACACTTTGGCACATGGATGGGGGGGCGCAGACACAGGCAGAGGAGAAGAGGAAGGAGCAGCGGATTCTTCTAACCACTAGTTCTAGGGCAGCAGGTGCGGCTCTGGGTGCTGCTGGCTTCATGCAGGTCACGGGTGGGGTGACGGCCGGGCACTGGGCCCGGGAGAATGGCGCATGGTCTCAGTCCTCCTGCAGAGTGTGACCTCTGGGGCCTACTCAGTGGCCATTTGCTCAATGTGGTCACTAAGCAGCTTGTATTGCTCTGGAAGAGAAAGCGATGTTATTTCTCAGATGAAATATGGTGACAGGGACAGGTATGTCCCGCTCTTGTCACTCGGACAGGGGTGAATCAGGGCCTCCCTGGCAGCAGGGCTGTGGTTCCTGAACTGCACTGCCTTCCACAGGCCACACAGCTTGTGTGCTTCAGGGCAGGGCTGTGCCACGAGGGCGCACTGCACACGCAGCCTCTTGGCCAGCACGCTGCCTGTGGGGCAAGCAGGTGGCTGGAAGGGGCCCTCAAAACTGGGAACGCATCTTCTTATAAAAATGGTGTCATGGGGCGCAGCCCCTGCACCCTGTGACAGGCACAGGGCAGTCAGTCCAGCCACCCTGGGGACTGGGAGAGGTGGCAGCATCCCCCTTGCCCTGTGCCAGTGAGGTGGGGCTGCTAGCAACATTCTGAGACAGTCTAACGGCCACTGGCGCCCTCATGCCTCCTCAGGCCGCTCCACCACAGATCCCTTGAATTAGGTGGAGAATGGGATTTTCTGAAGAATATGGGTCGATCCGTATCTACGCCTAAGTGTAAGTCCTTTCCGACGCAGAGGAACCAACGCTTGCAGCAGATGGGGCCGCACACAGGGACTGGCCCCCGCGCAGGAGGGCGTCAATGTCACAGCATTTCCCTGCTGTCACGGAAGCCAGAGATTCCAGAGAAACCTCAAAACTCCCTCCCCACCGCCCTTGTCCCCTGGCACTCATCATAGCAGTGTGGTCTGAGAAAGAAAAGGACGCCACGCGGGAGCCATTTAGAAGGGGGCAACTTGGGGCCAGAGTTTGGCTCCGTGCAAGCTGAGTCCAAGCGCTGCATCCCCCTCTTCCTCTGTCCTGTGAACACCGGGGCTGCAGCCTCAATGCCCACAATCCCATCTAGCAGAAATGGATTCCAAATGGAACGAGAGGTGTCCTGTGCGTCCGTCTACACAGACTGGGGAGAGAGGAGGGCCATCTGCCCAGAGCTCAGCACATTTCCGACTGCAAAACGACATGCCTTCTGGCAGTGCAGAAGCGCCAGCGGGCGCAGCACTGGCTCCTGACCCCAGCCCTGCCCGCCTCCCGCCAGCGGCCTCCCGCAGACGCACCTTCATCCAGGTTGCCAATCACAGCCTGCTTCTTCAGGAAGTCATTGCACAGCTTCTTGTTCAGTCCGAAGGCCAGCATGTTGTGCGAGAACGTGCTGCAGGAGAAAACCCAAGAGAGTCACCCGCCGGCTTCCCAGGGGAAAGGGCCAAGGAGCTGGGCCCTCATCTCTGGGACGCCCACCGTAGCCTGCCTGGAATTGTCAGCAAAAACTGAAACGCACTGCTGCCTAATTAACCACCAGCAACTCTCGCTGCGGCACTGCGGCCACCAGGGGTTGCGTAGGAGGCGGATTAATTATGAGCTGGCATGGAGGCCAGTGTAATGAACTCCATGCCTCAGAGCAGGCTGACACAGCACCCCAGGGTGTGACAGCTCACAGGTCGTGACAGCTCACAGCGTGGGCCCGCCCCCTCTCTCCCTGCCCCCCCTTTCCCCTCCCCCTTTCCCACGCCCGCCCTTACCCCAGCTGCCCAAAGGTGATGTTCTCGTTGAACCGGAGGCTATCATCGCGCTCCTCCTGCGTCATGTGGCACCACTTCTCCCTGCAAGCACAGGAGGTGACAGGAGCGGGACTCAGAAGGTGCTGTCCTTGCCCCTGCTCCTCGCCCTGCTCTGACCCGCGGGTGCTGGCGGCACCCATGTACGGCCCCCCGGGCACAGAAGGGGGTGCCTTTCACCAGAGAGCCGTGTGCTGAGCCTTTCCACAAGGCCTGCCGGGATCCTGACACCGCGCTTGGGGTCCCCAACGTTCATCTCACTCTTCACAAGATAAAGAGACGCGGAAACAGAAGTGTTCTTTATGGCCCTGAAGGTGTGGAGCGCCACGCGGCTACCCAGGCATTCTACAGGCAGCGGGGCCGGCCCCAGAGCCTCGCTACAGCTGGAGAGTGGGGTCTGGGCCCGTCCTCGGGGAAGAAACCTCCAGAGAGGGAGGGGACCTGCCCAACATCCCAGGACAGCGGGCCTTGGTGGCCCAGGGAACGTTTTCAGATCACACCTGTGTCTCCTGACCAGCCTGATGGGCCAGGCGAGGTGCGACATCCTGGGGCCAGTTGCGGATGTCAGCTTCCACAGAGGCTGAGGGCACGGAGGGCCACACTGTGCCCTGCCTGAAGAGGGCTGTGCCCTGCTCAGCTGTGCCTTCTCTGCGTCGGCTTTCTCAAGGCCCTCAATGCTCTCTCTAGTCCCCTCCCTAAATAACACAGAACAGGCCCCCACGCTTCCCGCTGGCCCCTCTGACCATGACCCTGTGGGTGCTGTGGACCATAGTGAAGACAGCACCCAGGCGTGAGAACAAAGTGCTGAAAACCCAATGAGACGGCATCGACCGAGGTCTGCACCGAGCTTCAGGAGCCGGGGGGGACCCTGACGCGTTCTCCGCACAAGGCCTGGGGTGGGGGGTGTTCTGAGCGCTCACCTGCTGCATGCTTTAGAGGGGAGTGCTGTTAATCCCTCGTCTGGGGCAGAACAAGGGGGCTCTCCACTCCTTCCCAGCCCTCATTGCCACAGAGCTTTTCTGCGTTGCCGGCTCGTTCCCCGCCCCTTGGGCAGGGCCTGGGGCCTCCCTGACCCTTACACAACTCCCTGGACACCACGGCCATCTGAGAAGCTACCTGCAGAGGCAGCTGCGAACGTGGAGACATTAATTTGAGCCCCTTTCCCCTTAAAAAGAAAACTGGATGGATGAGTCTGACTAAAATAAGGTTGAGAGGAAGATCAAAGAAGGGGGAGAAGGATGGCATGAGAGGGTGAGAGGCTGGGATCATGGAGAAGCCAGAGGAAGAGAAACGAAACAAAGGAACATGAACTCCTGGCTCCTCGCCACCCCCGGCCCACGAGAGGTCACTGGCACTGCTGCAGCTTAGCGGGCATCACAGGGCATCAGGGGCATGATGGGAGTGACGGGCAAAGGTCACTCCCGGCCTCCTCGTGCCGATGGCAGGATGCCCACGAAGACACCAGAATATACTTCCAGGTACTCTGCAGAGTCCCGTCCCATTTCCTTCCTACTGTCTTTCCCCAAAACAGCCCCCCGGAGGGTTGTTCAGACATAAACCCCTGCACCACCCGCAGGCCTGCTGTGCACAGTTGGGCAGGTTGGGCCCTGCACAACCCCAGACCGCACGGGAACGGCTCCCTTGGAGTCGTGCAGCACAGGAGCCCTGGCCCCTCCTCTCCTGAGCCAGATGACGCGGCGATTCTTCTCGCCATGGTGAGGACGAAAACTGAGACATTTAACCTGACGTCTCAAGAAAGAGGTAAATGGTCACTGGCAGTAGCAGATGAGGTAATGTCCACGATAAAATCACTTCTTACAACTGACCTCAGGCCGGGTGCGGTGGCTCATGCCTGTCATCCCAGCACTTCGGGAGGTCGAGGCGGTCAGATCACCTGAGTTCAGGAGTTCAAGACCAGCCTGGCCAACATGACAAAACCCCATCTCTACTAAAAATACAAAAATTAGGCCGGGCACGGTGGCTCACGCCTATAATCCCAGTACTTTGGGAGGCTGAGGCGGGTGAATCACCTGAGGTCAGGAGTTTGAGACCAGGCTGACCAACATGGTGAAACCCCGTTTCTACTAAAAATATGAAATTAGCCGGGCATGGTGGTGGGCACCTCTAATCCCAGCTACTTGGGAGGCTGAGGCAGGAAAATCACTTGAACCCAGGAGGTGGAGGTTGCAGTAAGCTGAGATCGCACCCCTCCACTCCAGCCTGGGCAACAAGAGTAAAACTCCGTCTCAAAAAATAAAAATAAAAAAAGAAAGAAAGAAAAAGAAAAGAAAAAAGAGAAAAGAAAAGAAAAATCAGCCAGACATGGTGGCGATTTATGTAATGCCAGCTACTGTAATGCCAGCTACTCGGGAAGCTGGGGCAGGAGAATCGCTTGAACCCAGGAGGTGGAGGTTGCAGTGAGCTGAGATTGCACCACCGCACTCCAGCCTGGGCAACAGAGCGAGACTCCATCTCAAAAAACAAAACAAAAAAGAGTTCAATTTCCAGTGCCAATCAAGCTCTGACACTGCACAGCGAGCTGAACTTGCGTCTACACTGCCTTGGTGGGAATCTGGATGGGACTGACCGCCTGCTGCGAGGGAAACCTTCTGAATGGAGAAGCACCTGCCTCTGGAAACAGAGAGGATGATAATGGCTTCTTGCTGTCAGCAGAGGTTACCAAAAAAGAGACGGCATGTTAGAGGCATGAGGTTGCCTGGGGACTTGGAGGCAACCTCGCCCCCTGCCACCTGCCTCAATCTCAAAGCAACATTCAGCCTTCTGGGGAAGGCTCAGGGGCCGGTCAGAGATGAGGAGCCGGTGCAGAGCTACGTGTGGTCAAAGCTAATCTGCCCTGGTATGAAGGCCCAGGAGGCCAGCTGTCCCCTCAGCTGAGCTCAGGACAGACCACCCCTCCCCAGCAGCACCGACCAGCTCTCGGAGGATGCTGAGATGCTCCCAGCCCTCCTTGGGCCAGGGCTGTGGGGCTGACTTGTTCCTGGAGGGCTGGTTAATCACACTGTCACCCAGAGAGTCACTGAAAACCCAGGGGCTTTGTTCATGAAAGGAGGTGTTTGTTAGGCCTAAGTGCTCCTTTAAAAGCCATAGGTCTGCATAAGAAACGTGATTGCTCACGACAATAAACACCACACATGTCACTGATTAGAGGAGGCAACTTCACGCATCCTCCAGCGAGACATCGTAACAGGGACTCTATTTGAAGAGGCAGATCGGCAACTCTGAAAACACATTACAGAGGATTCTAGCCCGCAGAAAGGGGAACAGGGAGAGTCAGACCCCTCTGTGGGCTGGCAGGAAACAGCCCCGTTCTAGGATTTCCTCGGGGACCCCTCGCACCCCCATCCCCGAGCGGCTGGGAAAGTGGGAGTGTGTCCTTCTTCCGTGCCTCCTCAACCTGGCGGCCCCAGCACACCTGAGAGTGGGTGGTGTTGCAAACAGGACAGGCTCTGCATCCCACCCGCGGTTTCCCAGATGAGCCGGGACCCACGTCTCCAGTGTGAACAGTGAGGCCAAGCGCGAGGCTTTCAGGTCTGCTCAGAAGGGGCCGGAGCGGCTGGCGGAGAGCATGGCTGGCCCAGAACTGGAGCCCGCTTTCCCTGGCATCACCCCCTCTGCCTCTCGAGCTCATGCTGTCGCCAGGGCGTCTCAAGGTGTCACATTTGTTTTCTGACTATTTCGGAGTGCTCTGGCCTTGGCAGGCTCCCACCTGCCCAGTTCCGGGATGCATTGCCAGCCTGCCCTAGTGCTGGCCTCACCTCCCCAGGGCTGCCCTCCCCGCCGGCTGCCAGGCTGCACCTGCGTCTGGGCTGTGCCTGCTGCAGCAGCTCAACACAGTGCACAGCCCCCAACCTGAAGTGACCTTTGCAGGAGCCCGCACTGTAAAATGGAACAAAGTCACGTGGACACACACACCTCTTCTCCTCCTCCTCTCCAGCATCCCCTCTGGAGCGGCAGCAGAAACAGGTAAACAAAGGAACATGTCAAAGTCATGCAAGATATGTGGATGGTAAAAAGAGAACAAGCAGAGGAGGGTTATTACAGGCAGAAACGAGCGGGACAGAGAAAGACAGGATATTCGAAATAAATTAACTTCCTAGAAGTCTGAGAACTAAAGAGGCAACGCCCATCCGCCTAGAGGCATCTAAGCATTTCCCTGTTCTGGTCTCCTGCCAGAGCTGGTCTCTCTCGAGGGTCCTCGGGCAGTCTCAGCGTCTTTCCCTCTCCACGAGCCCCTGTGCCTCCCCAGGAAATGCGGCCATGGCAGAATGCTCTGGGTCCCTCGCCCCTGATAGGGTTTTAACTGCCCCCAGAGGGAAGAATTTCACTTGAGACACGGCAAGTGCTGGGAGACTCGAGTCTTCCCCCCAACAGCAGCCATCTGCCCACTCTCCTGACGAGGGTTAGGGTAGAGGGTCTCCCTGGTGTTACAGAGGGCCGGATGTGCTTTATTAATGAGGAGACCAGGGCCCGGAGAGGTTCAGAGCCTTCAGTCACACGACTGGAAGGGGCTCCCCCGGGGGCTGCTGTCCCTCGCTGTCGTGTCGCTGTACACAGTGGATGGCACCTTTGCTTGCTATGGCATCGGCCCCCGTGGAGTGGGTGCCAGCCCCTCCCTGCTGCCATGTGCGAGGTGGCCCTCAGCGAAGCTGGGAAGGTCTGGTCAGGCTGCAGACCCAAGAGGTGAGTTGCGAGCGGCAACTGCATTCACCAGGCACCAGCTCTCGAGGGCAAAGTCTCGGGGGAGGTGGCCAGCCCTTCCTCCCAGGACCCTGCTCCAGGCGTTCATCCCCAGGATGCTGATTTTGTTCAGCAAACAGCAGGGTGGGCCCGGGAGCAGGGTTCCTGATGGTATTAGTGGGAGCTGGCAATTTTAGGAGCGTCAGGCCAAGTCATGCCAGAGCCCCAGGACAGAAAGCGCTCATGCAAGCTGAGCACCCCCACCCATGAAGCCGAGACCCTCAGGCAGCTTGCAGGGCACCAGGGCCATGACGGGGTGAAGAAAAACCAGACACGTCCACTCAGCTGCTCTTCTGCTCTCCTCTTCCGCAACCGGGAAATAAAGCCACTCCCTGGTCCTTTTTCCTGAGGCCAAATGGGGCCACACTTTGCTCCTACCTGGTAGTGGGAGATCGCTTTGTCCTCTCACAATGGACAGCGTCAAAAAAGGCTGCATTCCAGAACCTCAGCGTGTGCCTGCAAGACAGAGCCCTAGTCACACTCTCTCCAAGGGGAGGCCGGGAGGACACGGGTCGTGGGCCACTTGAGGGATAAATAAGGGCAGTGTCTCACATCTGTCTGAGCTTCTAAAAAAGTCTCAGAGAGGTAGGGCTGAGAAGGAAAAACTGAGCATATGGCTTGATCTAAATAAAGCTGTTTCCCCGGGGCTCCCGGTGGCTGCGTATCTCTTAGGAGAGATGGCGCAAGTGGGAGGGAAAACTACGCTATCCCGGGCTGCACCGCGGGCAGGAGGGCGCTGGCGGGCAGAGCTGAAGCCACCATCTGTAGGACACAGAGGCGGGCCGTTTTCTTCTTCCGCCTTTCCTGCTGGGACTCCCAAGAGGAAGCACAGGGCTGGGATTTTCTACCATCAAGGTCTAAGTAAACATAAATGGGAACCGGCGGACACTGTGTGCCAGCAGAGAACTAACGTTCATAGGGGACACTCCAGGAAAAAACTTTTTTTTTTTTTTTTGAGATGGAGTTTCACTCTTGTTGCCCAGGCTGGAGTTCAATGGCGTGATCTCCGCTCACTGCAACCTCTGCCTCCCAGGTTCAAGCATTCTCCTGCCTCAGCCTCCTGAGTAGCTGGGATTACAGGCACACACCACCACACCAGGCTAATTTTGTATTTTTAGTAGAGATGGGGGTTTCGCCACGTTGACCAGGCTGGTCTCGAACTCCTGACCACAGGTAATCCGCCCGCCTTGGCCTCCCAAAGTGCTGGGATCACAGGCATGAGCCACAGCGCCCAGCAGAAAAATTCTTCTTAAAGAACATCAGGGGTTGGCAAACTATGGTGTGTAGGCTGAAGCAGGCCGGCGGCTTGTTTCTGTAAATAAAGTTTTATTGGAACAAGCCACGCTCATACATTTATACAACGTCTCTGGTGGTGTTCACGCTACAACAGCATAGTGGTGTGGCTGCAGCAGAGACCATCTGGCCCGCAAAGCCTAACATATTTATTATCTGGCCCTTCACAGAAAAGTTTGCCAAGCAACAATGAAAAGACAGCAGCCAAGTCAAGGACAGAGGAGCTGAGCTGAATCACCAGAAGGCGGGACAAAGCGCGCCAGCTTCTCCCCGTCCTCTGCTTCCACAGGAACCAGGTCCAGCCTCAAGGGCCTTCCTACAGCTCCAGCCCTGCCCTCTGCCCTCTGGGTCCCTGCGGCACTCCCTGGCCAAGCTCCTTTAGTAGCCCTTGCTTGGTTAACAGGCAGAATGCACCACAGCCAACTGTGATCTTCAGGGGAGGGAGGGCCTGTCGGACACTGATTCCAGGTGCTAGCAAAGCACTCTAAAATATGTTGAGAGGCTTCAGAGAGATTAGCGCAGCCTGACCATCATCTGCAGAGCTGGGCCATACGCCAGGGTGGCCAAGATTTCCCCTGCAACACTGGTCTCACTTCAACCATCACCTTCATTCATTTATATACATGTAAGAGCTTAATTGGGATATAATTCACATGCCATGAAATTTGCCCTCTAAAATATACAATTCAGTAACTTTTAGTGTATTCACAGAGTTGTGCAGCCACCATTTCCAGAACATTCCCTCATCCCATAAAGAAACCCCATCCCCATCAGCAGTCATGCCCTGCTCCCCATTCCGCGCCCTCTGCCCGGGCTATCAGTCATCTGCTATGTCTCTAGGAATCTGCTATTCTGGACATTTCACAGGGATGATACAATACGTGGGCTTCTGTGCCTGGCTTCTTCCACTGAGTTTCACACATTTCCCAGGCCTATCCCTGCTGCAGCGTGGAGCGGCATGCCATTCCTTTTCATGGCTGGCTAATATTTCATGCAATGGATGGATTTTGTTTACCCATTCATTACTGGACGGCCATGAAGGTGGTTTCCACTTTGGGGCCATAATAAATGACGTTGCTACAGACATTTGTACAAGGTTTTGTGAGGACACGTTTTTCTCTTGGGTGACTCCTAGGAGTGGAGCTGCTGGCTCACAGGGTAACTCTGTGTTTCACCTTTAAAGGAACTGCCAGACTGTTTCCACAGCGACTGCTCCATTTACGTTCCTCCTAGCCATACAGGAGACCTCCAATTTCTCCACATCCTCGCCAATGCCTGTGAGGGTTCATCTTTTTATTCTGCCACCCTGGGGGGTGTAAGAATTCTGCCATTCTGATGGGGACAAAGGCAACTAGAAGTGATCCTGGGGAGTGACTGCTGGCCCCGTAAGAGGGTGACAGGAAGCCACGGGCTCAGCCTTACCAGATGGGCTGCTGCTTCAGGTGCGTGTACAGGTAGATCTTCTCCCCCTTCTTTTCGTCCTCGGGGCTGTACACGGTCACTGTGGGAGAAGAAAGGCCGAAAGCAGCTCCGGCTGCGTGCCCGCTGTTGGCAAACCCCGGGCGACAGCCTCCCAGCAGCCAGTTTCTCCCCGAATGCCACAGAAACACGTGGTGCAAACTCCACCATGGCTTTTCGGCTAGCCATAGCCAGTAATGGTGCTATTCCCACCCGGCAATAAGGACTTCCTCTGAGGGATGGTTCCACAGCACAGCCGCAGCCCCTCGCGGTAACCCTTAGCCCTCCTGGGATTAAGGAATTTAGTTCCTCCTCAGAAAAGTGGCTCTTCCACAGAAACTCAGTGAGAAAATACAGACCACGGGAGCTGGGAAGCAACTGGGGCATCAGCCAGGGCAAGGTTCCTGTGCTCCGTGGAGGCAGGAAAGCCCCAGAGGCCGTGCACCTGCTTGTGTGCTGGCTGAGGGGGTGTGGGCCAGGCATCTCCTGCTGTTGCCTGGGCAGACTCACCAGCCCTGGGCCGCTTCTCCTGGGGTTTGCTCTCGTCTTCCCTGAGGGAAAGAAGGCACCATGACGACAGATGCGACTCACACCACACTTTCTCAACTCAAAGACGCTGTTCTATACTTCTCAGGTGGGACTGGCTACATTTAATATGGCTTGCTCTGAAAAGCCTTTTATGAAATCAAGGCTCTATTTGTCAACTGCCAGTGTTTCAGAATTCAGGAAATGTGGCATTGAGGTTTCTTTATGTCATTTTCTCTGAATCCAAAGCTGAATGGGGCAGAGGAGGAGGCCAAGGCACCTGGCTGCGGCCCAGCCATGGGTGGGAAGAGGGGACCCCGGGGCTCCCTCTGGCTGCCGCATCCCTCCTCCTTGTGGAAGTCATAGCTTCTATGAGTCTATTTCTGATGTGCCTGTCCCCAAAGTGTTCCTCAAGTGTCTGTCACAGCCCTGCTCTCCTGGGAACAGTGTTTTTCTCCTGTGACTCAAGACCGTGTTCCACAAGCACTCACTCTTGGTCCAGCCAGGGGATGGAGGGGACAGAGGAGACAGAGTGGAGGGGCTGCAGTTCCCTCTGCCATCGGACAATCCCCTGGGCTCCTCATCAGTCCCAGGGAGTGTGGCCCCCAGGGACATCCCTGCATGTCACTGGGGGGGCTCAGCTTTGCAGACCATAGCAAGCTGTGGGGGCAGAGGCGGCTGGGCAGCGCAGTGCTCCTGACAGTCTCTGGGCCTCACTCGAACCCTCCCTGCTGACCCCACCCAAGCTCCACACCAGCTTCTCCCCCGTCCCATGCAGGTGGGAGGGACCCCAAGGCCACACGTACTCGTTCCTCCTGGCCAGGGGCCCCTTCAGCTTGGTCTCCAGCCCCCCGAAGAAGCCCTTGACATTCTCCGTCCTGGCCGAGGTGTTCTTCAGCAGCCGCTCGGCAATGTCCTTCTTCTCGGCCAGCCAGCTGTTTGCGGATTTCAGGTAGGAGTCGATGCTGCCCGCGGGCTTCTCCCGGGCCTCCGGGGGCAGCAGCTGCGGTTTTCCTTGGACGAAGAGAGAGAACAAGACGAGGCCGGTGAGGCCAGGGTCTGCACCTGCTAACTGCAGAGGCCCAGGGGAAGCCCCGCAGGGGTCCTGTGCAGTGGGGATACAGGAGCCTCCCTCCTCAGCCCAGGACAGGGGTGGTGCAGGCTCAGCCGGCCCAGGATGAGGAAGTGGGGGCCCTGCTCCCCGTGAGCACTCTCAGCACCTGCTGTGCACAGAGAAGCCACTAGGAGCAGGGAGGGAGCAAAGGAGATGCAGGCTGGAGCCCGGCCCAGGTGGCAGGGTCTGCAGGGAGGCGAGGGCAGAGGCCCGACCATGCCAGCGCCAGGGAGGCAGAAGCCAGCTGGGCACCAGGCCCCTGAAATGGGAGTGCGGAGACAGCAGGGGGGTGGGGAGCCCTGGCACCCAAACTCCCTTAGCCAATGGACGGACACGAGGCCCTGGCACCCCCGCAGGATGACGTACCCCCATGGGCCCCAGTGCCCACTATAAGTCAAAGGTTCTCTGTAGGCCCTGGCAGGGTGTCCTTACTAGCTGAAGCTGCTGTGGGTAGCCCTGTCTCAGGAAGCAGCGTCTATTCATTATGGGTCTATCTGTTCTTCAAAAACGAAGAGCCAAAGGCTGTACTGGGGGGTTCCCACTCCACCCAAAGCAGCTGATGAGTGGCCTGGCGGGAAGGGCTTGCCCGCTGGTGTGGCTGGGACATCAGCCATGGCAGTTGGACCAAATGAACTGAGGGGTGCGGAGAGGACAGCTGTGGGAGGGGGAGCAGATACACACACCCCAAGAGTGAGCATGCAGGTACCGAGAGAGGACAGCACGGGGGGTCGGGGCCTAGCACCTCCCTGACCCAGCTCCAGTCCACGTGGAGGCTTCCAGCAACCTTCCACTTATGGTGGCCTGAATGAGTCCTGTTGCTGCAGCCCCAGGAGACTCACGCAGGAAGCCCTTGAGCTCCAACGTACCAGAAAGTTCCAACAGAATGAGGCAGAAGAGATATCATAGCCTCAGCATCAAGAACAGTCCACACTCCTCATAAGCCATCTCCAGCCCATCCCTGGGCAGTCTCTGCCACTTCAGATCCTAGACGGCTGCTCCCCACCACCCTCCAATAACCAAGCGTGTCTTGTTTTGGTAAAACATAAAACTGATTATCTTCACATCCAGCAGTTCCTGCCTCCACCATAAAACGTCCTGCCTAGCATGTTTCTCCTATCAGCTCGGGAGTTTCCTTTGCACCCTGGTCAGTCAACCTCCCACCCCATGATTCGGACCATGTTTTCTCTGAAGTCTCACTCCTCCCTAACACCAGCGTCCTCTGTTCTCTGGAGGCCCCGTAGCTTTTGCTTTTAACCATGAAGAAAGCTTCCGCTGACACATTATTGGCTGGCGAGCCTCAGGATCCCGTGGGTGAACCCCACATCAGCCCACCCGTGTCTTACCGATGTGGTAGTAGGTGAAGCACATGGTCATGAGGTTCTTGGCAGGCCCAAAGTCATCCATCTGATGACACCTGAAACAAGAGGCAAGGTTCACGGCTAAAGATCGCTCCACTTGCTTCTCCTTGCGAGCCATCGCTGAGACACTTGACACATGTGTCCCAATTAATATCTTCCCCCACTGGAGACGCACAAAACAATCTCCCTGAGTTCCATTAGGAGAGCTACATACAGGCACATGGCCTGGGACTGACTGAATGGGAAGGAGTTTGTGGTCTGCCTGCCTGGCTTCCTTCACTGAAAAGGTAAAAGCCAGGGCCCGGGAAGCTCAACTCGACGCCCAGGAGCAGAGCCAGGCCTCAAGTCTCAGTGCACAAGAAGCCGGGCCTCAAGTCTCAGTGTACACCCGTGGCCCAGGCCACCTGGCTCTCCAGCCCTTGCCTTCTCAGGAATTAGCAGTAAGTTGGAGGACCTTCCCCGCATCTGTGGCTCTCAGGCTCCTGCCCCAGCATCGGTGGTGGTGGGGCATCAGGAGGTGGAGCCGCTGACCCAGCAGGTCCTGGTCTTGGGCGGGACCACCCCTGTATAGCACAGGTCTCTGTCTCTCTATCCTGATCCCTTTTAGACTTTTCTTTTCTGTTTAGGTTTTAACTTTGGACAATTATGACTTTACGAGTCAAAAGAAATTATCTAGACAGTGGGATTAAGGGCCATTTTTATCTTTTTATATAAAAAACGAACTAAACTAGTAATAAAACTATAAAAGACAAAGTAAAAACTAAAGATGTTTAACAAACTAAAGATTATAAAACTAAAAAATCCCATACTGTCTAAATATTAGAAGAGTTTTTGTTTCACTTTGTTTTTGCAACTATACAAACATATATATGCTCAGGGACCAACTGATGGCAAGAATCTTTGTGTTTTGGCAGGTTGGGACTTTAACCCCTCCCTCCCCAACTTACTTGTGTAAGACAAAAAACTCAAAGAAAAATGGAGAATTACTTTTAGCCTAGTGCAAATAAAAAAAAGAAAGAAAATGGAGAATCAGAATTATGCAAAATGGGGGTTCGTGAAAATGCCTGGGACTGCATATGTTGGAAATTGAAGTATCTTAATTGCACGAGAGAATGTTTCACAAAAGGCAACCTAGAGGGCCTCTTTTAAACCACTACCCTCTGGCTGAAGGTGAGGGCTCACTCAGCCTCTTCCGGTGAAGGTTTCTCAGCCCTCCCCTGGCCAGCTCTGAAGGCCAGACCTCAGAGGAGAAACGGATCTTGGACTTCGGGTATCCTGAGCAAGGGTAGGAAAAATAGGGATCCTCCTTTTGTTGGTCTTCTTCTTCCAGTATATGCCCAAGTTCAAAGAGAAAGAGAGAAAGGGGAGAGACATGAAGAAGCAGGAGAACTGGGACTCGAGAGAGCAGGCTGGGTGTGGTGCTTCACGCCTATAATCCTAGCAATTTGGGAAGCTGAGGAAGGACGATTGCTTGAGCCCAGGAGTTTGAGACCAGCCTGGGAAACATAGGAAGACTTCATCTCTACTAAATATATATATATATGTGTGTGTGTGTGTGTGTGTATGTGTGTATATCTATATGGAATATGGCCAGGCGTGGTGGCTCACTCCTGTAATCCCACTACCTTGGGAGGCTGAAGCAGGTGAATCACTTGAGGTCTGGAGTTCAAGACCAGCCTAGCCGACATGGTGAAACCCTGTCTCTACTAAAAATACAAAAATTAGACGGGCGTGATGGTGCATGCTTGTAGTCCCAGCTACTCAGGAGGCTGAGGCAGGAGAATTGCTTGAACCCGGGAGGCGGAGGTTGCAGTGAGCCGAGATCCCACTGCACTCCAGCCTGGGTGAAGAGTGAGACACTGTTTCAAAAAAAATAAAATAAAATAAAAAATAAATTTAAAATGAGCTAGGTGTGGTGGCATGCACCTGTAGTCCTAATTATTTGGGAGGCTGAGATGGAAGGATCCCTCAAACCCAGGAGATTGAGGCTGCAGTGAACTGTGATTGAGCCACTGCACTCCCGCCTGGGTGACAGAGCAACATCCTGTCTCAAAAAAACCCAAAAAACCAAAAAAAACGACCCAAGCAGCTATCTTTGGTTGGGAGACAAGGAAGTAAAGGAGGGAGATTTTTCAGGCCTGGAAGGACAAAACAAAGGCAGTGATGTGGGAAGGTGGCGATGGGATGAGCCAAGGACCAGAAGAGGACACACGGCCCAAAGCAGGGGCTGCTTAGAGGCCTTCTGCAGGAGATGGGGATAGTGGGGTCCAGACATGCCCAGATCAGGGCTCCCAGCCCCAGAATCGAGGCTCCCCAGAATCGGTCAGGCCACTGCCCAGCCTCCCCAAGGCCAAGAAGCATCCCTTCCATTTCACACCTTGGAGGCATGAAGCTGGTCTGGTGACCCCAGAGAGTCATGCTCCTGAGAAGGGAGTCTGTGCCTCATGGGGTCTGGCTCCCTAATCTCACAAGTGAGCAGGGACAGAGATGGGATTGGCCCCAAATCTCCAGCTGGCGGCCATGCCCTTTCCACCACCCCTCACTGCCTACCAAGGGCTTCTGTGATAAAAGGCCCCAGCGGTGCCTCATCAGTGTTCGCAGGGAAGGCTACAGTCCTCCCAACACATCATTAAGTGTTTATTTGCTCATGGGGTTGGCAGTTGAATTTGAAGTACTTTACAACAGGAACTCGGGAAAGTGCTAGAACTCCCGAGGAGGGCAGGGCCACAGTACATCATCACCACCTGGCCCTGAGGACCCGCCCAGAGGATGCTCCTCACATCCAGCTGCAGTCCTCTCATCACTGCCAGCTAAGGATGGCCAGCCCTGCTCCCGTGAGATAGTGGTCATGACTGTGCCTTTTAGCTGATGCTGGGTATAGCAGAGCAATTGCAATCTGATGACTAGTGTGGATATGACTCACAGCTGGTTATGACACGGCTGGGTGGGGAGGGAAGGAAGGAGGGAAGAGGAGCTTACCAGGACAAAGGCTTTGTGCAATGGCATTACTTACTCAAACAGCACCACTGCAAAAGACTGCACCAGGCGGTAGAAGGTTGCCTCTGAGACACACTTGGAGTTGCAGCGCTGTCCAGAAAGAGGCCAGACACGTCATTGAGGTTCAGGGCGACACACGCAGCACTCAGTGAAGCTGCAGGCTTTCCACTCTCAGTGTTTCCAAATGCAGCTGGGATGAGGGCCCAGGATGGCTGCTGCCTCTGCACTATAGAACCCGCCCCTCCTGCCAGGACCCGGGCAGAGTACAGCCACCTGCACCCAACCATCACTGGGCAGGGCACACGCAGGGGTTCTCCTCAGTGTCCTTCCCAGATTTTTAAAAGTAGGAACTTCATACACACCCACACACAGAAAAGTACCCCACAATGACAACGCTGGCTGTTTCCAAACTGTGGATGTGTGGGTAATAAACTTCTCTTTGTTCATCTGCATTTTCTAACTTTTCCATGAAAAATAAATTATTTGCACTAAAATACTTAAAAACTAAAAACTTAGGCCACTCAGGAAAAAAAAAGAACCTACTGGATATTTACAAAATTTAATTATTTTCTAAACTTCGTTAATATATTTTTCTTCACATGACTGTCACGGTCTTGAATATTTTTTATTTTTTACAAAAAATCGAGTATTACGGGTTAATAAAAATATGCACGCACATAACTCATATGCTTGCCTTTAAAAAATGAGATTTTACGGAATTTCATGAAGTTGAAAGCCCAGTTTCTTACTCTTTCCCTTGAAGTGCGACGTCCAAATGAGCTACTTCCTGTTTCTCACTATTCTTTTTTAACTTTTAGAGATGGGGGAAGGGGGGACCTCACTATGTTGTTCAGGCTGGTCTTGAACTCCTGGGCTCAAGTGATCCTCTCGCCTCGGCCTCCCAAAGTGCTGGGATTACAGGCGCGAGCCACTGTGCCCAGACTGTTTCTCACTATTCTCAACACTCCTTTTCAGAATATTCTGGGGTAAGTTTTACTTTTTTTTTTCTGTTGGGTCATTTCCGTTGACTCTTTTCTCCAGAGTGTCATTATAGGATAAAGTCAAATTTGTTATGCTTCACCAGATTCTTCCTCAAGAGTAAACGCCCATCCTTCCCATCACCTCTCCCTTACCTGGGCACTCACGTATCGAGCAAACCACTCCCGGCCTTTTCCATTTTCACTGCTGCAGTACTCTCCAAACTTGGCTTTCTCCTCCTGATCTAAGTCCTCCCTAAAAAAAAAAAAAAAAAAAAAAAAATAAAAAGGAGCCGGAATAAAAAACCCCTTTTCAATCCGCTGGAGAAACAGGGGAAGAGCAAGGAGAAGGAACTAAGGAAGTATTGCTCCCCAGCCAAGCACAGACCCCAGCTCCCATCACCTCGTCTCAGCCTCCGGGCGGTCCCGTGAGGAAAGGGTGTTACTGTTATTTCAAAGGTGAGGAGACTGGCTCGGAGAATCACACGCCGGCTTGAGAGTGGCGAACCAGAGTTCCATCCAGGCTTCCTGGTTCCAAAGCCCATGTCCTTCCCCTGCCCCTCCCGACCCCTGCCTGGGGAGGTCTGAGTCCGGATAAGGGCACGAACCCTGAGAGGTCTTGGTTCTCCAGCTCTCTGACTTCCCACTAGTTTTTGATGCTGGAGTCAGCATGGAACCAGCCCCTGAATTTAAGACTTCCTGAATTTGCTCTGTCCTAGTATACTGACACCAAGGTTTGATGCCAGGAAGAAAACCATCTCCCACGTATCAGCAGGGCACTCGCTCATCCCTCTGCACTTCCAGAGTGAGGCTGCTCACGGGCCAGGCCATCCCCAGCTGTGTGCGAGAGGTATGGAGACCAGGGGCCTCCACCTTGGTGTCACCACCACTAGGATGGATAACATGCTCACATACTTTCAGGCCACTTCTCATCACTCTTTGTAAGGCGCCAATACTCTTTCCCAAATTTAAAGACTCGAAAATGAAGCAGAAGGCTGAAGATCACTTGGCTTATGCAATCTTCATTTATGTTTTGTAGAAAACATCTTGGTCCTCATTTACTCTAAATACCAACATCAGATGAAATATGTGTTATCTGCAGGCTTTTGCAGTAATTTCTGGAATGCTTGCGAAGGCGCATCTGACTCAGGTGTCCACATTTGGTATCGCTGACAGGCTACTGCAAATAGAGGCTGGCTTTCCTGGCAAATGAGCAAACTTCTGGGTGTTTTCCCCTTTTCATTAACTGGGGTGTGCTCAGAGAAAGCGCACCCATCTCAGTGTTGGTCAAACAAAACAAGTAGGAAGCTACATCTGCTCTCCTAAAATGCACTCAAATCAAACATAAATGCATTTTTATTTATTAATTTTTTTTTTTTGAGACGGAGTCTCGCTCTGTCTTGCCTAGGCTGGAGTACAGTGGTGCAATCTCAGCTCACTGCAACCTCTGCCTCCTGGGTTCAAGTGATTTTCCTGCCTCAGCCTCCTAAGTAGCTGGGATTACAGGCACCCGCCACCAAGCCCAGCTAATTCTTGTGTTTTTAGTAGAGATGGGGTTTCGTCATGTTAGCTAGGCTGGTCTCAAACTGCTGGCCTTAGGTGATGTGCCCGCCTTGTCTCCCAAAGTGCTGGGATTACAGGTGTGAGCCACCGCACCCAGCCCATAAATGCATTTTTAGATGGTCAGGTATGTGGATTATCATACAACGGTTCCCTTTTCTAACCACACAGAAAACTGAGGCTGGTCTCCATCAATTGAGAAGCACCCATCAAAAAGGCAGAAGTCAGCCCTTGAGAGTTTACACACGTGGGGCTCAAATCACGGTGGAAACAATGGGCTCTGCAGAGTAAAAGGCAACATTTCTTTTTCTTTTTCTTTTCTTTTTTTTTTTTTTTTTGAGACAGGGTCTCCATTTGTCACCCAGGCTGGAGTGCAGTGGTACGATCATGGCTCACTGCAACCTAAGCCTACCTGGTTCAAGTGATTCTCCCACCTCAGCGTCCTGAGTAGCTGGGACTATGGGCACATGTCACCACGCCTGGCTAATTTTTGTGTGTTTTTTTGTAGAGTTTCACTAGGTTTCCTAGGCTGGTCTCAAACTCCTGGGCTCAAGCGATCCTCCTGCCTCAGCTTCCCAAAATGTTGGGAATACAGGTGTAAGCCACTGAGCCTGGCCACAAATCCTAACTGTGTTAATGAAACTGGAAAACTTTCCCTTAAGGCAGTGCCTCTCAGACGCTGATGTGCATGAACTGTCTACTGATCTTGTTAAAGGGCACGTTCTCACTCAGAGGGGCCAACCAGGGCTCAAGACTCTGCATTTCTCACACGCTCCCAGGAGATGCCAATGCTGTCAGCCCACACATGACAGAGCAGGAAGACCATCCGTATCTAGTGTGCTGCCGTGAATGGTGGAAGAGCCACAATCCACACGTGAACCCCATGGCTCTGGGGTGTGTGTGCATCCTCCTTCCCCTGGCTGAGATATTAACAGGCAGTGAACTGGGGTAGGGAAACATCAGGCCGATGCACAGATTCCCGCTTCTCAGTGGATGTCAGAGCCCCAAACTCTCCCTTCCTGCTGCTCCAATTGTCAACACTCATTATTTTACCCTTAAGAACCGCAAAAGAACAGCCATCCAGGGAAGGGCCCCATGCAAACAGCTGCTTCAGAATCAGCTGCTGGCCAGGGTCAGCACTTTGGAAGGTCGTGGCAGGAGGACTGCTTGAGGCCAGGAGTTTGAGGCTGTGGTGAGCTATGACTGCACCACTGCACTCAAGCCTGGGTGACAGAGTGAGACCTTGTCTCCAAAAGGAAAAAAAAAAAATTAGCGGGGCATGGCGGCGTGTACCTATAGTCCCAGCTACTCGGGAGGCTGTGGTGGGAAGACTGCTTGAGCCCAGGAAGTGGAGGCTGCAGTGAGCCGTGATTGTGTCACTGCACTCCAGCCTGGGCAACAGAGTAAGGCCCTGTCTCTAAAAAAAAGAATCTGCTTCTTATGAGCACACCAGTATGGGTAACCACAGCTTTATTATCTTATCTTGCCCCTATATCTAATTTCAGTGAATAATTGCAACCTCTTAGCCAACTATAGCTGTGACAAGGAGCGCTAGGGAGTGGTGAGCCTACAAATGCTCAGATGGTCCCAGAAACAGAACAAGTGCCCCTTGTGTTTAGCAACGATGAGGTGAGACAGGTGTCGGCGGAGTGAGAGGAAAGAGACGGCCCTCTCCAAAGCCTAGCTTAAGAATTGCATGGATAAAATTCGGGAACAACATGCACTGGAAAATAACAGAGCTCTGCCAGGCACGGTGGCTCACGCTTATAACCCCAGCGCTTTGGGAGGCTGGGACGGGCGGATCACATGAGACCAGGAGTTCGAGAGCAGCCTGGCCAACATGGTGAAACCCTGTCTCTATTAAAAACACAAAAATTAGCCGGGTGTGGTGGCAGGTATCTGTAATCCCAGCTACTTGGGAGGCTGAGACAGGAGAATTACTTGAACCTGGGAGGCAGAGCTTGCATTAAGCTGAGATTGCACTACTGCACTCCAGCCTGGGTAACAGACCCAGACTCAGTCTCAAAAAAAAAAAAAAAAAAAAAAAAAAAAGACAGAAAGAAAGAAAACAAACAAAAAGAAAATAATGGAGCTCACGGGGATGATGGGGACCTGTGAGCCAAGTACTCTGGAGCGTGTCCCTCCAGCGGTTCTCCGCACGGTTGCCCTTCCAAATCACCTGGGAGCCGCACATGCTTTGACGCCGGCCTCACCCTAGAGAACTGATGTAATTGGTCTGGAGTGAAGTCCAGACTCGGGTACTCTTTAAAAGGTCCCCATGTGGCTCTGCATGCAGGCTGGAGTGGAGGGAGGCCCCTGCAGTGGCCATCCCTGGCTGATGAGGAAATGGAAGCTCTGGCCCCAGGTGGCACCCTGGGGAGAGGCAGAGCCAAGAGCAGAAGGCGGGTCCCCTTGGGCCCTGTGGCCATGCCAGGCTGTCTTGTCCACACAGGCCCCTTACCCTCCAGAGAAGATCTTCTCCACATAGCCACGCATGAAGTCCCTGAGAGCCAGGGTCTCTTCATCCTGGGTAGACTCGGTGCTCTGGCTGGAGGAGAAGGACTCGTTGGAGGAGGAGCGGCGGTCCTGGTCCCAGGACGGGTGTGAGGGTGACTCGCCCATGTCATTCTCACTGTCCGCAGACTCAGTGGTCTCACTCTCTGATGCGCCATCCCCCAGGGAGCCATCTGCGTCCTGCAGTGCAGGGGGTGGTGCCTCCAGGGGAGAGGAAGTGGGTGCCTCAGGCCCAAAGTCGATTAGCGAGCCCACGGGGACCTCCGGGGCCTCCATGGCTCTGGGGAGCTGCTGGGGAGGCTGCCTGGAGGGGAGCCCGGCAGCCTGGCGTCCCAGGCGTGTTAGTAGGAGCCCACCAAGCTCACAAGTTGCCGGTAACTGCTGGCCACCAAGAATGAGTCCTTCGCAGCAGCTCACCTGGCCCTACAGCATCTAGAATGGAAACACAGACACAGACATTAGTGCCATTCCTCACCAGAATCCAGACCCAGATCACACACTCCCCGGAAAGAGAAGAATCTCTGCTCTTCTGGAATTTGGGGTGCCTCTTCCCCATCATCTTCCTACCGTCCACTTTACTGTTCAAAACCTGGTACACGGTAGGCCCTTGATAAATACTTGTTAAATGAATGAACAAATAAACACTGACATCAGGATTTCTCCAAGTTCTGCAAACAGACTGTCAGGGCACTGCCTCTGCTGGCCTCCTTCCCGCTCCAGCCCCAAGACTGAGCCCATCACCAGGACAGAAAAGGTCCATCCTGGGCTGGAAATGGAGGATCACCAGGGACAATCCACCTGCCCGCTCGCTGTCACTGGAACTGGTGGCTACGGAAGAACCTCCCTGCTGAGCAACAGACACCTCACCTCCTGGCTCCTGCCTCCTTCCTTAGCCCTGTTCTCATCCAGAACGTTCCCAGGCTGTCAGAGGTCTATCCTCTCAGCATCCTTCTCAAACCCTACGATGGTTGCTAAGCACAACATTTGCCATCTGGACTTGTCCCCTCTCCCGGCACAGCAGCCACCCTGGACAACGACACACCCCTGGGCTCCTCAGGCTGGGCAGCCCTCTTCCTTCTCCATTCCCCTCCTTTTTCCTCCGCCATTCCTACCCTGGAGTTCTATTCACCCCTCGAGGCTCTGCCTTGGCCACGTCTTCTGAAAAGCTCTACTCTGCTCCTATTCAAAATGAATGAATGACTCCTCTGTGGGCTCCAGCAACGTATTCAGCCTAATTTATCATTCTGCTTGCTTTACTGACAGACACCAATATTTCCGTTTACCCATAAAGCATACGCCCCTCCAGAGGGACCATGTCTGGCACCGCTATAGCCATGCTGTGCCAGGCGAGGACTCCTGACTACATACGTGTGTGTTGTGTGCTTGCTGAAGGAAAGAACAGACCCAACTGTGAACACGCTCACAGGGTCAGGGGTGTTGGCTACGCAGGTCACAGGGTGGCAGAGCTGGGATTCAAATCTTCGCTTCTAATCCTGGTCTCCTGGCTGCTGGTTCAAGAGGTCCTGGGGAACCTTCCTCACCAGTACAGAGGCAGACAGCTAAGCGGGAAGGAGACACCCTCTTGACAGTCAGCCCCTCAGAGCACAGCATACCTCTAACCTCAGCCCTGTCCGTTAGGCCCCAAATATCTAGGACAATGCCTGCCAGTGAGGTGGCTGTGAAACTGCTGAACTGACTGCATCTTCAGAGGACAATTCAATAGCAGAATGGCCTTTTCTGCCTCTTAAGAGCTTAATGCTCACCCGTCGATGATGGATTCCTCCAAATTCTCCAGCCTGGGGTATTTTTAAATACCCTGAGTCAGAAAAGAAAAAGGCTGGCTCCCGGTCACCAGCATGGTGATGGGCATGTTCAGGGGAGCCCCACAAGGCAAGCCTCAGTCCGGAAGAGAGAAGCATAAACCTTAGCTCAGGAGAACTTTCCACGCCAGGACAGCAACAAGGGCTCTGATGAGCTCAGAAGGCAGTGGCTTCGGCTCAGGGAGCTGGAGAGCAAGGAGTGGCCGGTTGGAGTCTCCCCTCACCAGCTGCGTCCCCGGTCAAGGCCCCTACTCTCCAGTGGGTCCCCCTGGCTGAGGCATCAAGATTGGATCAGAAACCCAAGGCCCTTCCACAAGCACATGCTCACTCGCCAAAGAACAGAAAACCACACCCATGGTAACATGCCTGGCATTAAAAATGAAAAACCACACACTAGGAAAATGTTTACAGTAAATATACTAGGAAAATTGAGCTAGTGGTATCTGTATTACAAATTCACACAACTCGCCGGGCGCGGTGGCTCAAGCCTGTAATCCCAGCACTTTGGGAGGCCGAGACGGGCGGATCACGAGGTCAGGAGATCGAGACCATCCTGGCTAACACGGTGAAACCCCGTCTCTATTAAGAAATACAAAAAACTAGCCGGGCGAGGTGGCGGGCGCCTGTAGTCCCAGCTACTCGGGAGGCTGAGGCGGAGAATGGCGTGAACCCGGGAGGCGGAGCTTGCAGTGAGCTGAGATCTGGCCACTGCACTCCAGCCTGGGCGACAGAGCGAGACTCCGTCTCAAAAAAAAAAAAAACAAAAAACAAATTCACACAACTCTAAAAAGTCTATATTCTTTTTTTTTTGAGATGGAGTCTCGCTCTGTCGCCCAGGCTGGAGTGCAGGGGCCAGATCTCAGCTCACTGCAAGCTCCGCCTCCCGGGTTTATGCCATTCTCCTGCCTCAGCCTCCCGAGTAGCTGGGACTACAGGCGCCCGCCATCTCGCCCGGCTAGTTTTTTGTATTTTTTTAGTAGAGACAGGGTTTCACCGGGTTAGCGAGGATGGTCTCGATCTGCTGACCTCGTGATCCGCCCGTCTCGGCCTCCCAAAGTGCTGGGATTACAGGCTTGAGCCACCGCGCCCGGCCAAAAGTCTATATTCTAACAGCTACACAAACAACTCAAATAGGCAAGGCACACAAGAGGAAATACAATTATAGGCCAGGTGCAGTGGCTCTCACCTGTTATCCCAGCACTTTGGGAGGCTGAGGCAGGTGGATCACCTGAGGTCAGGAGTTCAAGACCAGCCTGAGCAACATGGTGAAACCCCATCTCTACTACAAATACAAAAACTAGCCAGGCATGGTGGGGCACGCCTGTAGTCCCAGCTACTCAGACAATTGCTTGAACCCAGGAGGCTGCAGTGACCCGAGATGGTGCCATTGCACTCCAGCCTGGGTGACAGAGCACAACTCCATCTCAAAAAAAGAAAAAAGGAAATACAATTATTAAAGGCTTAGACAAGTCTTCAACCTATACTAATAACCACAATATAAATATGCAAATTAAAGCCATAAGGTATCATCTTATACTACTAAATTTAGTAAAAATTTAAAAACTATTTAAATACTGGTAAAGTTATGGTAAAATTAACATTCTCAAGCATTGCTGGAATAGGGATAAATAATACTTCAAAAGGCAATTTCTACCATTCTTATTTTTCTCTGTTCTGATTCAGGAATGCAAATGCTTGGAATTTATCCTAAGAAAATAATTCAAAACACTCAAAAACAGTTATGTAGAGAAAAATGCTCACTGCAACAGTGTTTATAATCTTGATTAACTGGGAAGACGGTAGAAAAAATACCTAAATACAGTAAAATGGGCCAGGCATGGTGGCTCACGCCTGTAATCCCAGCACTTTGGGAGGCTGAGGCGGGTGGATCACCTGAGGTCAAGAGTTCGAGACCAGCCTGAGCAACATGGTGAAACCCCATCTCTACTAAAAATACAAAAATTAGGCAGGCATGGTGGTGCATGCCTGTAATCCTAGATACTCGGGAGGCTGAGGCAGGAGAATCGGTTGAACCCGGAAGGTGGAGGTTGCAGTGAGCTGAGATCACGCCACTGCACTCCAGCCTGGGCAAAAAAGCGATTCTCCATCTCAAAAAAATTAAAATAAGTAAATAAATAAATACAGTAAAATGTCAAATGCATGTTAAAAAGTTGATGCAGTAGTGATGAGTGTATGATACAATTCAAAAAACGTCCACTTTCTAGTAAACAGAATGTTCTGTAGTCAGCCCAGGTTTACTGAACGCTGCTGCTTGCCAACCCCTGTTCTGAGTGCTGAGAACACTGAAGTGAGAGAAACTTAATTTTACTCTAATTACAATCATGTATATATATGCAAAAGCAATGAGGAAGAATGTAGAAATGTATGGTGGTGCTGGCATCGGGGTGGTTTCCTCTTTCATTTTGTTCATTATCCTAACATTGCATGGCAAACACTCACAGTTCAGTGGGAAAAAGGAAACAAGTCACTGTCTCTGGAAGCCATTCAAGCAGTAGTAGGGCCGTGTCTCTCTGCCCACACACAGGAGGTTCAAGATCAAGCTGGGGCCGGGGACAGTGGCTCACGCCTGCAATCCCAACATTCTGGGAGGCCGAGGCGGGTGGCTTACCTGAGTTCAGGAGTTCGAGACCAGCCTGGCCAACATGGCGAAACCTTGTCTCTACTAAAAATGCAAAAATCAGCCGGGTGTGGTGGCGGGCGCCTGTAATCCCAGCTACTCGGGAGGCTGAGGCAGAACTGCTTGAAACCAGGAGGTGGAGGCTGCAATGAACCATGCCACTGCACTCCACAGTACAGACACAGCGAGACTCCCTCTCAACTCAATCAATCAATCAATCAATCAAACGGGATGATCGTGGCTATTTCTGATCCAGTCTCAGGCACTCTTGGGCCAGTCAGATGCTCTCATGAGTCATCCTCTCCCAGAAGCCCTGAGTGCTGGGTGCCGCCTTCCTCAGTGGGCTCAGCATGGAGGCGACAACATCACAGGAGAGGCACTGAGTGACAGGAAGCAGATGGGTGGCAGGAGGGCTGCGGCGGGCACCACCCCTGTCCCCAGACCCCTCAGCTCAGGGATCTCAGCTGTTTGGGGCTCGCTCACAGAGCTAAGATGTCACAGCAGTGACTCTGTGTGGTCATGGCAGGGGAAGCAATCCCACCCTCTTCTTCCAGCAAGGAAAAGTCATTATGGGCCTTTAGGCAGGACAAGGTGATGGCCACTCCCACACTGCAGGGTCACAATCTCGGGGGACTGCCTGGGCCAGCTGGCGAAAACACAGGAGGTGGTCCAGCAAGGAGCCACACTGTCCCTGCTCAGAGCCAGCCCAGCGCTGCCATCTGGGAACGCGGACCCAGGAGTATCAGATCTTCTACAGGTTTCTTTTTTTTTTTTTTTAGACGGAGTCTCGCTCTGTCGCCCAGGCTGGAGTGCAGTGGCCGGATCTCCGCTCACTGCAAGCTCCGCCTCCCGGGTTCGCGCAATTCTCCTGCCTCAGCCTCCCGAGCAGCTGGGACTACAGGCGCCCGCCACCTCGCCCGGCTTATGTTTTTGTATTTTTAGTAGAGACGGGGTTTCACCGTGTTAGCCAGGAT